AGGAATATAAGGAGATGGGACGTAGAGCAAAGAGGGAGGTAGCTAAGACAAAGCAGAAGATGAATGATGAGTTGTATGGGAGGCTGGACACTAAAGAGGGTGAGAAGGACTTGTACTGACTGACAGAGGGATCAGGCTGGAGAGGATGTGCAGCAGGTTAGGCTTGTTAAAGACAGGAATGGTAATCTAACAAAGTTAAGTCAGGTCCTCTGGACAGATGCAAAAAATAAAACAAAAAATAGTTGACACATTTAGTCTGTTATCCAAAGGTCTTCCTCAGTCTGAGGTGCTGTATTCAGCCCAGTCTCTTAAATAGCACCTTCTCAGAGTGGATCAACCAGTTTTGCTGCTGACAACCAAAACCAGCTGATCACATGCTCAAGAAGGACCATCAGCCTAACAATGGATCATTAGCACACTGATGGCTGTTTACTGTTCACAGAGGGCTGAGTGATACTAGCAATCACAGCATTGTAAGAGGGGGACAGTTGAACCCGGAGGCTCCACCCCTGTTTAATGATGGACGGTTTCTTTTCACAAAGATGGCCTCCTTTACTCCTCTCTCAAACCATCGTTCCTCTCTGTCCAGGATGTGAACATCTTCATCCCTGAAAGAGTGACCTCTGACCTGGAGATGAGTGTAGACCGCAGAGATGTTCTTCTGTGCTCTTTTGGATAAAAGATGAAATGTTTCAACAAGTTTTTAATTTTTAATTTAATTTTTAATATTTTATTTGTTTTAATCCATCCAGAGGATCATTCAGCTGCATCAGGATAAGTTGCCAGATCTTTCATGAGAGTCCAGGAGCCGCTGAAAGAACTTCTCTGCTGCTCGTAATGAGGACAGATGCTGAAGATATGAACACTCGTCACATGTTTGCAGACAAATGGACCTCATGTAGCTCTGGGTGATGTTTTTTGTGCAACAAGCGTAAACTCGAGTCTGCAGCTTCCTTTTGCTCTTTCGTTCAGAGATTATGAAAGAAATCCTGGTTGAGCAAACAGTGTGGGGGAGTGAGACTTTACCTGCTCGCTCGCTCCCTGCTCGTAGCCACCTCCCTCTCAGGGAGTGTACACACTCCTGCACACTCCCTTTGCTTGTTCACACTCTGCTTCATTTGACACACACACTCAGAGAGCCTGTTCGGACTGTGTGGACGTCAGAGAGTTTAAGCTCGGAGGACAGAGACGTCTGGAGCTGCAGCAGCATCAGTCAACGCTCACGAGATAAACATCAAACCAGTCAATGATTTTTTATTTTGTCCATTTGAGACACGGAGTAACTTTTTGTTCTCTCAAGGACCTGCAGCTGCAGACTCGACTGACAGGGTGAGAGCTTCATTTCTGTCTCGCACGAAGAGCTTCTTCTGATGCTCTCCACTTGGAGCTTGTGTTGTCCACCTTCGTGTGTCGTCTGTGTGACATTACGCTCACGCTTCTTTTGACGGTTCAGACTTAATGGGTGTGAAACACCAGTTTGTCCAATCCAAATTCTTTCAGTCGAGCAGAGTTTGAATTGGTGTAAGAGCCGTCCTGCATAGCTCACGTGTTAACATTTGTCCTGAAGCAGAATCTTCCAGTCTGAGACTTCAAACAGCTGCCGTAAATACACATCTGCATGTTCTGAATATAAACCTGAAGCTGCTCCAATGACATCATCACACGATCATTTACGTCTGTCAAGTCGCTTCACAACACAAATGGTTTTTAAAAAGTGTTTGACTCTGGTCCGTCTGAGCTCTTTCTTGTGTCTCTCAGTTTCAGTGATTTACAAACTGATGTTGTCAAACTGTTATCAGTCTTTGTGTCTTATCTGCTGTAAAGCTCAGAGTGGGGAGATAAAAGCCCCCCCGCAGGCTAATGATGAGCAGAAATGTGAGTTTGGGGCAAAAAACACACATTGTTAAATAAATTGTAGCTTTTTCTTTGAATATTTGAACACAAGGTGAGAGAGTTAACTTTCACATGCACCAGACTGGATGCTGTCCGTCTGCTGTAGTTTGTGCTGAGGGCCTCAGATGCTCATTAATGGTTTCCTCGTATCCTGCGTTAGCTCGCAGTAAAGCTTGGCTAAGTGTTAAAACGTTCTTGATGTTATCGTTTTACAAACGTGGATGTGCTTCAGCAGCTAATGGGCTCAAAGGAGGACTAATGGAAACCATTCAGCGGTTCCATCGTGGTCAAGAGAAACCCACTCCCTGTGAAGCCTCCGGGAAATCGTTTGGATCACTTCAGTTTTGATGTTTGATTCATTTCTGCACATTTTCTAGCTCAAATAAATCATTTACGTCCAAATAATAATTTACATGTTGTAAACAAAATCAAATAAATGATTAAAACCGTTGACCCTACAGGCTGTAACTCAGTTTTACACAGTAAATTTGATGTAGTGCCTGAGAGTCATCCCAGCACGTATTCTGAGAGCAGCGGACGACGTGTTTGTTCAAAGTTTGGCTTGAAATGTGTCGATTCACGTGCATTCTCTCAAGAAATGCTCGTTTCTTAATGTGTTTGGATCTGGAGATGTTGCTCTGTGTTCTTTAAAAGGTGAAACCGTAAAGGCTCGTTTCTGCTGCCCAGAGGAGTGAAGTCGGATAAAAGTCGTTGGGTGGTCCTCTCAGATCGACCTGTGCTTGAAACATGAAAAATATTCAGAATGTAAAATTCTGATTCTGCCACACAAAAACCAGAGCGTTGGAAAATAGCTTAGGAAAGAACAGTTGCTGTTATCTACGTGTTTGAAGACAACAGATCAAAGATAAAACGATAATAATTAATTAAATAAATAAATCACAACATTGTTTGAATCCAAAGTCCTCAAGCAAAGCGGTCGCACTTTGTTAAAATCATTGCCGACAGTAAATGGACTCACGGAGCTGCGTTTCTTTGAGCTCGATACGACAAAATACAAAACAACAAATTCTGACACCTGACGGGTCAAAAAATAAAA